GAAGGTTAGGGCTGTCTGCTTCTTAGAACTGAAGGATGGAAAATAATAAGAGTTAGACGGTCTGACAGAAGTGCATTTCATGATCAGAGCATTATTTGTTAGGAGGACTATTGTGAAACATGGAGAAAGTGAAGCTAATGTTTCCGCTCGTCCTACGTGGTGATTTTGAAGTAAAATGAATTAATTTATTTTTAAGTACTCTAATAATTTTCCATTTATTCCCTAAGTTATTGTTTACGGTGGGTCAGTCGGTTAATGGTAAGAGTACCGTCAGTATATTCATAAATTTGGTCTTGTGTTTTACGACTTATGAAAATGCCTAGTTTTAACTGATTTGAGGACGCTGTTACTTTTAACTGTTAGACGGAGCCAATGTTTGTTTCTAATGCTGGATGTGTGATTTTTAGTTTGTTCGTTGCTTAGGCAGTTTTATCGGTTGAGTAGTTGATCGCATGGCCAATTCCAATTTGTGAGAGATCGTTAGTGTTCTTCTAGGTTTTTAGGCATCTGACTGTTTTTTGCTTCTGACTGTCGACATGCTAAGTCTGTTTTAATTGATAATTCGGAATGAAGGGGGGAAGAGGGTTGAGTTACGCTTAAAACTATAGGTAGTCTTTTGTTGAGGGGACGAAACAGTATTTTCCTGGTTCAGAAATTGATTTGATGTTTGGTGTATGGTGTGTTTATTGTATTGGTATATCGGTTCTCATGTAGTGAGTTGTTTTTTACATAACCATGGAAGCGTTATTCACTATTTAATATTGTTGTGTAAGATCTCGTAATTAAATCCGGTGCTGCGTTAAAACGGGGAAAATATTTAAGTTCAGAGCTGTATATAAGTCTTTTTGCACTTTAATTGGGTCTTTCTCAACGGGTCTTGGAAGTTGATGTAAGTGGCTGTCGCTTCAAAAGAGGGAATCTTTGACAGTCAAGGGTACGTAGATCGACGGAATTGGGAGATTTTCATTTTATAGATGAGGTAGAGGTCTGGATTATGATCAGGGAAGGAGAAGTCTAATGAAAACGAATGAAGTCCAGAAATTGGACGTTTAGCATATATTGCTAGGTAAATCTCGCTCTGACTGATGCGTTTTGGAGACTTCAGGTCTGTTTTGTTAATGGCTTTTGCTGTCGCACCACTTTCTGTGGTTTGCTACTTGGTCAATTTGTTTTATTAACAAACAGTTGGGTACAGTTACTGGCGGTTACCGTAGATGGGCTCTACATTAGTTTGCATCCTTTTCAACTATTATTTAGGGCTGTCTATGCATAAAGTAGAAGGACAGTGAGTGATCCGCTGTGTAACTGTTCAAATACGATCGAAGAATCATACTGGAAGTCTGTTTACGTTTGATGCAGCGTCGAGGAGTCTCGTTAGGACTGTATTTTGCTCAAAATGAGAATGGAGTTCTCATAACTTTGGCTACATTCACATAGGCTTGAGGAGACGACAAAGTTAGTTTTGGTTGCCATCGGAGGCCAGATACTTTAAAGGGCGAATTGTAAGTGATTGGATGGATTAGGCAGGATTCTGAGAACAGTGGAAGGCGAGACAGAGATTTAAGGTATTTTTGCGGAGTTGTTCTTGTAGTTACGATTGCAAAGTAAACGTTGGTTTTTTCGTGCGAAGGTAAGGCTTGGGTGTTTACAAGTGTTGTCATGGCCATCATCTCATACCGCTTAAGGATTGCATTGCCTGGGAACGATTGGGAAGCTTTCCTTGTCAGGTTGTAGGGAGAAATTTTATGGTGGATTGTCGTAGTGCTATGCAGCCACGCGAAAGAAAATGTCTTTTTTTTGTTCGAAGCACGGTTTATGCATCTGTTTCAAAGCATTCAACTTAGGCAAACTGCTGCATTTATTTGGTCAATTGTTTAAACAAGTGTTAGGATGCCGTGCTACGATACTGCAGCTATGTTCCTGCCAACTAGCAGGATGTAACGTGACTGGGATGATGGCTTCAAACTACTCTGTTGAGGTTTTTTTGTATACCGAAATACAAAAGTTTTGAAGGACAAAGTCTTATATACAAGCTTGTCTCTCTGACTAGAAAGCTGCAGCAAAGTAACAATAGTGCTTAAGTCCTTAGAGTGTCGAAAAGAAGAAGAAATGTATCTGTGTATTTTTGCAGCAGACGATTTTCAGTCCTCCTTACAAGTATTTGAAAAGTAATTGGTAAACTGTTTAGCATATAGTTCCTTAGTAAAACGCAATTGTGCGATCGGTTATCAATATGAAGGTTGCTGCAAATGTTGCTAATAGTGCCGAGTAATTCAGCAGAATTTTGTTGTAAAGTTTCTTGTGGAACACAGCGGTAGACTGTAAACAGTACTCAGTAATGCCCGATTGTACAAAAGATGGACCAGAAATGAATATCCATAATGTTATTTGAAGTTTTGCAGTTTAGCGTGCCGTTGTAGTAGAATAACTGTTAAACACTGAGCGGCAAGAAAGTTTTGAAGCGGACGTCTGATGTCGCGTAACTCGACAGAAGATGAATTAATGAACACGAATAATCCAAAGACCGGTTTTTTTAATACGGCAGTTTCTCTTCCCATTGGTTCCTTGTTTACTGAACTAGAGTTACAGTTTGCGATGATACACTGGCTGGAGAGACAGATATGCATCAACCTATTTAATATTACTCTTGGATAAGGATTTTGCTAAACGCTTATAGTTCTAAAAAAAGAATTACGGTAGAGACTAGAGTTTTCTTCTCAAATGCATATACCCTCGGCAGACAATAAATTTTTCAGATCAGGACACTTACACTGGAGATTTATTGTTGCTCATTCATATCGAGACTCTCTGCATTTGCACCTATCACCATTTTGTCAAAGGCTGTTAAGCTCACCTAAACTCCAACTAATAAAGCTGAGACAGAAAAATTAAGGTAGAAAACAACTTTTTTTTCTGAAGGAAATGCACCAACTTGCCGATAACTTTTATCTGTTAAAGTAGTATATGACACTTAAGATTAGTAATACTTGATAAATGAAGAATATCATGAGTAAAAATTAATACATTTTTACTTATCAGTCCACTAAACTGTACACGACCAGTATTTCCGACTTGTGTTTGAAAGAAACCTTCACTAGTTTGTACAGCCTATTAGGCAATCATTATGGGAAATGACTTTTAAACTGCGCCTAAATAAATTTATCTTATTGGCTATTTTTTAACAGTTTAACTAACAGCAATTTTTGGTTCGGCTGTATGGACTGTTGTAGGTTTCTTTACAGAACTACAGAATATAAAAATAAGATAACAGTAAAAATGGAATACAGTCTTTTTTTTTTCTTTGTTCATGATAAATGCACTACGAAAGAATAGATAAAAACGTTCATAACACATAGATAAATGCAAGAAAAAAAAAAAGCAAAAAAAAAAAAATGGGGGAACCAAATATTGAAATACAGTTTATTACATGGAAATTAAAGAGGCATTGGTAGTAAAATTGGGACGAAAGAAAAGCACTGAATACCTTAAACAAAGCTAAAAATCGGATTTGTCAAACTGAAGACTGGTTTGTCACTTTGCTGCTGTTAAATACAGATGCGTAATTCGACAAAAGATTGTCAAAAATATTAGAAGCAAAAAGACGGTAATGACACTTAATGGAACCATTGGAAAGCTTTAATAACGGTACGTCATCTATATATCAAACAAATCTGTTTTTGATAACAATTAGTGGTTAAATTTAATTGAAATGAAATATTGAGCCGAATTGTTGGTTCACCAACTTTGGTTCATAGATTGTTGCTATTTTTTCCTTTCTTTTTGAAACACAGTTTGAAGTTCATTCTTTATCGAAAGAAGTGTCAAAAGACAAAAACGTTGCTGTTCACTCAACCAAAATGGTTGGTTTGTTCACACGCAAACCCTCACATACACAAAAAAAATTGAAGAAATAAGTAAACGAATACACAAAAACAAAAAAAAAAAGGTGATCTACAAAGAAAAGTAAAGTAAACCTATAAAAATGAATTATACTAGTATCTCAGGAAATAAATGGTTTTTTGCTTTTATTTTTGATCGTCTTTTCTTCTAAACACCCACAGTTTCAAGGAACATTATTAGTTTCTGACAAATGATGATTAACTGATGAGTGAATCATGGAAAACGAAAAAAAAGAAAAGTTTAAAAAATTCAGTAAAAAAAATTAAAAAAATAAAATTTTTTTTGATTGTATTTATCGAAGCACAACCTTACCTTGGTGACGCTTTTTTTGCATTCTTATTAATCACTGAGAGAAGCAAAAAAAGAAACAAAATTAAATATATAGATAAACAAATCAAAAAGCTAAAAAAAATGTGCATAAACTGAAGACAGCTGTTGACAATTTGTAAATGTAAAGGTGAATAAAAAATCTAGGTTATAAATTGCTCTACAATATTATTGAAGTTGAGAAAGTACAAAGTAATTTGTGTAAACCTTAAAAAAATTATAACAACAAAAAGAAAATAAAAAAAAAAAACGTAATATAGCACTTATGTGTGAACAGGTGGTTCAACTTCTCCTACTTTTATTTTTCGTTTCAAATCTCTTTTGCTATTTTAATTATTTTTAACTACTTTCATAAAGATGCTGTATTTTTGAAGAAAAAAAAAAAAAAGACAACTATAAAGAAACTATTTACCACTAAACTAAAAACACCAAACTTACAGCTAACTAACTGTGATTTATAGCTGTTAATATATGGTTAATATATGGCTGCTAGAGCTGCTGTGACACTGAAAATTGCAGCCAAATAGCGGCAGTACTGCAACAACTGTAGTTAATCATACACAGAATTATGCAGCAACAGCTTCCACAGAAGAAATGCCCATTATAGCGGAAGTGAAAGTTTACTGCTGCAGTAAACAGTAATGATCATTAACAAGAGTTTAAGTCGTATATGGAAAATTTCTAAGGGAGTGGGGAAAAAAATGAGCAGAAAATAAAACATGGGAAAAAAGTGAAAAAAAAAAAACGAGACTGCAGAAGAATTTTGAAAATATTAATCACACAATAAAGAAAATAAACAGGTAGAATAAATTGGGAGATGACTGTGCTTTGGCAAACGATACATTAACAGGGAAAACAACAACAGTGGCCATATACAAATATATATGTTGGAAAAAAAATAAACAGATATACCAGAAAAAACTACATCTATACTAG